TGTTGTGCATTTTTCATGCTCCTCCTCTGCCCTTACCTGAGCAGATAGCCTGCTTGAATTGTGCTGCTGTTTGAGGGGAATGAGTAGGACAGAGCACAGCAGCCCACTAGCTTTTCTGCCTTTTTGTTTATCCAGTCAAAGCCTTACGAAGTCGTGGGAGGTTTCAAGAGAAGAAGCAGGAAGTAGGTTAGCAAGGAAGAAGGTTACAGTGTCTTGGACAGAAGCTGGGGAGGCGTGAAGGAGCCGACCCCTTGCCCTACCCAGTCAGCAAAGCAGGAGATGCTTCAAAATATAGAGCAAGGAGAAGAGTGAGGGAGCCCTGCTGTTGCCATGGGATGGGAGCCTGAAATACAGGTGTTTGCAAATGCTGTCATGTTTCATACACATCAAGCACATAGACTGAGGCTCATACATCTTCCGTATCCACCACACTGTTCTGTATGCATTTAGTGAGAGAAATGTGTACGGACTCTGCTCTTGAGCAGCTTATACACAACAAACAGGCAAACACACGATTTAAAATTACCAAGTGTGGTAAGTGCCACCAGTGCAAATCCAACAGCACAGGAGGTTCAGCTGGCAGAGTGTGAGGTGTCCTTAGTAAGGCAGTAATAATTAAACAAAAACTTAAAAGACTATGAGACTCAGACATGCATGAGAGTAGCTTGGGGAAGCCAGGGAGGAGACAAGTCTCCAGGCAGAGGGAAGAGCCTGGGAAAGGCCCTGCAGAATGGCTCTGTGTGGTTATCTGGATGAGCTGAGTAGGATGTGGACTCCTTGGATTCCCTAAAAGTTGGGGACACACAGCACACAGAGGGCTGGGGCAGGAGAATCACCATGAGTTCAAGGCCAGCCTGGACTATACAGCAAGAGAGATTCTGTCTCAGAAAACAAATAAAAAGAAGTTGAGGTCACCAGGGGACTTGTACAAAGGGACTGGCAGATGAGCCAGGGTGGGCACTGTAGAAGGCCTAAATTGTAGAAGGCTATACAGAGCAGTACGGTTTAAGGGAAAGAGCTCAGATTCTGTAGGACTCGAGTTTGAGCACCAGTATCCCCTGGGTGAAATCACTCTGTTCATGGAAGTCTCAATGTCACCTGCTAAATGGAGAACAGCTTCGCCTTTATGGAGGGTAGGCTGAGGCAGTAAAGTGAAGGAAACGAAGCACATATAGACCAGCACAAACTAGATGCCTCAAAATGACGATTACTAGGATACTGTCCTCCATAATCTCTCCATCTCTCACCGCCAGCTCCCAGGCGCCCTCCCCCAATCCCTCACTGGACTGCAAACCCTCTGAAAGCAGGAGCAGGTACGATTTTTCCTCCCATCCCTGTCCCATCCTCCCCATAGAGCCTGACTCATTGAAAGGGCTTAAGAAATGTCTGCGGTACTGAAAACAAGTGCACAAGTCATTACAATAACTAATAAACTGAAGCATGCTTTTGTGGAGGACAGAGAAGTCATGGAGTACAAAATGATCAAATGACAAAGACCGCCCTGTCTTCAGGAGCGTCTGAGTTCTGAGGCCCTGGGGAAGTAGTCACTCATAAATGCATGGGCAATAAGACACAGGTGCTCCATCTCCCGATTACATTCCTCAGCAACACAGCAGCGGGTCACAACTGGCAGGCTCTTAACCAGCATTTCTTTAGCACTTTACGGCTCATACATTACTTCCACACATGTTATTGCACTCAACAATTTTGTGAACTAAGTGGGTTATTGATTTGTCTCCTGTTCACGATATAAATGAAGGAACAACGGTAAGTTATTTGCCTGTGGCTAGTGAGCCATAAAACGGAACCACAGAATCCCACGTCTTTCAGATCCAAATCCTCTCTGCTTTTTCCTATAACACTACGATATATGCTGACTCTTGAGTCATACACGCAAAATACTGCATGCACTCCAGAGGTAGGGAATTTTAATACACAGAACCATGTTCTGAAAGTGACCCTGGTATGTTGACAAAGGACAGGGAAGGATGTCACCCTCTCATTCCAACAAAAACAGAGATCCTCTTGCCGAGAAAGAGGAGTGGATCCTTCAAACCAGTTTGCTCACCACCATGAGTCTTCGCAATCAATGTTTATACCACTCAGTTGATCCAAGGGACCCCTATATGGCCCCATAAAATTTAAATATAAGTTTTAAATCTATAGATAAACCTCTGTTCTTTTTCTGTCTTGTTCTCAGCCACCATCTTCCACTGCCCACTTACTTATTCCCCTAAGATTTATTTATACAAACACAAGCGATCATGAACATTATCCCCTTTCTACTGAAAATGGCACACGGCATGATTGTGATGCAGCTTCAGGGTGAGAATCCTCTCTCCCCTGCTCCCTAGGAGCTGTGAGACTACACTCACAGCAGCCAGGGCCAGGCAGAGGCCAGGTGATCGATAAGCACTCACTGGAGGGACCAGGCCAGGCGGAAAGGGCAGATCGATCTCTGGAGATAGCCCAGGCTGTGTGAGGCCCGCAATTAGCTCTGTGCAATGTGGCAGGGGCCGCCGGCCAGGTGCTACAGTCACTCTGGGAGGCTGTGGCAAGAGGATTTGCAGAGTTCAAGCCCAGCATTGGCAATTTACCAAGATCTTTTCTCAAGATAAAAAAGAAGGGGCTGGAGGTTTAGCTCAGCGGCATAAGCAAGTGCCTTGCAAGCAGGCAGTCATAAGTTCAATCCCCGGTACCGATAAAAAGGAAAAAAGACCAAAAAAAAAAAAAGAAAGAAAAGAGAAAAAGAAAGGAAAGAAAAGAAGGAAAAGAAACAAGGTCAAATGCTTCCTGGATTGGTAAAGGCTTCACTCCTGATAACATCTCTGTCTGCCCAGTCATCAAAGAAAAAAGGATCTCTGAACAGAGGTTGCAGAAGACTCTCAGTGTTAAACAAGAGCGTCTTTAAGTACAAAGGGATGGAAGCAGCTTCTCCTTTGACTCCTGGCCACACGAGCACATACAATTTCTTTACACACTAAGCTAAATGACTAGAGATTGATCCACCCCATCTGGATGGCAATCTTCAGCCTCTGGAAAAGAGCTTGCAAAGGGACGGTGGCATAGGGTAGCACCGGGTCAGAGGCTGGGAAGCTCTCCTAGGACCAGCACTGGCTTCTGTCGCAGATGCTATAAAATCACTGACAGGAAAGGGCCATGGACAACACTGAGAAACTATGGACTACTAATTTTGGGAAGCTTAATTTGCTTCAATTAAAATTCAGGGCAGCTCTAAGCAAAACAGAAGTAGGTGAATTTATTTTCTGAGCCTCTGCCCAGCCCTCTCTGCAGGCCTGTTCCCAAGGGAGCCCTACCCCAGCTGCCTGCTAACTGGCCCCTTTCAGGACTCACAGCACTTCCTCCCCCTCCCACCAGGGCCAGACCAGGGCCACGCCTTGGGAGAAACTAATTTCAGCACTGTCTTCCTTATGGAATGCCTTAACCAACCCTTTTCTGGAAGAAATGCTATATAGGCGTGCATGCAATGAATTTTTTTTTAGTCTTTTTGAGACAGGGTCTCTCTATGCAGTTTGTGCTGGCCATGAGCTCACCTTGTAGCCCAGGCTGGTCTTGAACTTGCAACTATCTTACTGCCTCAGCCTCCTGAGTGCTGGGATTATGGGCTTGCACCATATCTGACTTCTGAAATTCTGACAGAAGTACAAAAAGTGGGAAACAATGCTACCCTCAGTCTAGAGGGGACTTAGGGGGTCAGTGGTGACAGCAACTCACTCTTTGCTGTATATCCTAAGGTACAACATAAACTTTCTCATGCATGTTCAATATTCTTCATATAAACTTAAAAATCATAGGTTTGAAAATGTCTCTTCTTGCCAGGCATGGTGGTGCATGTCTGTAATCCCAGCACTCGGGAGGCTGAGGCTGGAGGATCGCTGTGCATTGGAGACCAGCCTGGGCTACAAAGTGAGTTCAAGGCCAGCCCAAACTGCAGAGAGACCCTATATCAAAAAGGCAAAAAGAAAGAAAGAAAAAATAAAATGTCTCCTCTTAATCTTTAAATACTTTGACCCCAAAGATGTAGAAATGCAATGCCTGGCCAGGCTAGGGTTCCCAACCATGATACAGCCCCATTCCTGCTGTGCCACCAAGCAGTCAGACCACAAGCCAGCCAAGGCCTTAGGCTTAGTGCCCTGACACAAGTAAGCAGGATCCATCATACAGCCTCATTCAAGAATAGAAACCAAGACCCAGGGCCCTGCACACAAAGACACAGGTGTCACTGTTTCTACTGTGCTCACTGTTGGGGCTGAAAAACAGATCCTAGCCAGGCTGGCTCAAGCTTAAACCCACTCCGCCCCAAAAGAAGGGAGGGTTTCTGTTAGCCCACATAACCTAAAATTACAGGGGTGTCTCTTTCAGGCACAACTGGACCCAGGGCCCCAAAGACATCCCCAGCATCTGGCCCTGCTCTCTGCCCCATCTCAACCCTTCTCTCCCCGTGACTCCATCTCAGGATCACACTCCCTCATGGCCAACGGCTCCAGCCCATCCAAACTCAGCAAGCCTGAGGGAGGAAATGCCCCTTTTACAGTTGTACCAGACTGAAGGCCAATGCTGGGACTTGGTGGGATCGACCCTGAGCCAGTACCGGTGGCCAGACATGAAGTGTGTGTGTATGTGTGTGTGGGGGGGTGTCAGTCCATGAAAGCCACTGGACCACGCTGCAAAAAGGCGGCAGGTGTGGGAAGGCGTCAGGTGTGGGAAACTCCACACGCCCAGCACCCCCAAGACACCCTCTGCGACAACCCAAGGTCCTCACTGCTCCCGGCTGACATCCGAGAGTGAGCTTCTGAAACCTGACAGGTCACTGCCAGCAGGACAGGGTCTCCACAAGCCAGGGTCAGCCACGGTCAGCGGACAGCTGGAGACAGGGCTCTCAATGCATATAGGAGGCTGTGTGGGGGCTCCTCACTCAGGAAAAGGCTAGTAGGAAAGCAGCCTTGCGAGCAGCACATCCAAGCACCACTCAGGACATCTAAATGGAAATCACTTTACTGATACCTGAGAAGAAGGACAGGAGAAACATTACCCCTGACCACGCAGTCTGTCCCCATAGGCCAATCACCCTGGGGCGACCACTTCTCTCTTTCTTCCCTTAAGCCACGGGTCACTGGGAGCTTCGCCGCCAGCACCCAAAGGCCAGAGAAGTCCACAGCCAGAGCCAGAAGCTGGGAGAGAGAAGCCCTGCAGCAAGGCTCCTGAGGTCGGGCTGGCGCTGATACAGAACTATCATCGGTCAAGGTCCAGAGCCTCCTGGGTCACAGTCCGGAGTCCGATGGAAAACAGCTCTTCCCAGGGCTCCCGGATCCAGGCCAGTAGGGCTGTCAGCTGCTCCTGGCACACGACACGGAGTGCCCAGAAGCTCTTTAGCCGAGACACCTGGCAGGCAAAAGGTTGGCAAGTGAGATACACAGGAAGCTACCAGGGTGGGGACATCTCAGGGGAGGTCTCATCATCTCCCTCCCTACCCAAGCTCAAGCCTGTCATTCCCCATAAAACATGCTGACTTTGCCAAGAGGATCACAAGTTCAAGCCCAACCTGGACACCTTAGCGACTTAGCTAGGCCTTGTCTCAAAATAAAAAATAAAAAATGGGATACAGACGTGAAGGCCTTGGGTTCCATCCACAGTGCCTCAAGGGAAAAAACAAGAGAGCGGACTCTGAGCCCCATACACTTTCACACTCCCCTCTCGTCTCTCACCTCCCCCGCTGCTGAGAATGTGAGCTCTGGAGTCAGTTCCAAAGAAAGACATGGGCTGATTCCTGGCTCTACCACTTGTGACCAAGTCTCAGTGTCCTTGTCTGTTAAAAAGGACCCTGCCGAGTGGACAGTTGGAGGTCCAAAGGCCAGCACACAGCGGCCAATCACACAAGTTCACAGCTGCCAGGCCTCCCAGCTTAAATGTCCGGACCCCAAAGCATGGTGTTTCTGCTGCCGGCAGCAGCGTCCCTCTCCCCCTGCAGTTCAACCAACCCTAGTGAGCCCCACCCCCAATTCCTTGCACCTTGTAGAAGTTTTGTGTTCCCTCTACCTCTCCCAGCCTTCTGAGACTCATCCCACCATGACCATCACGCCTGGCACCTCTGCCCACCCATGCACGTGCAGACACACCACCTCGTCATAGAAGGCCAGCTGCAGGTCCTCAGGCGCGGTGCGATACAGCAGCACTGAGCTCAGGCTGCTGAGTGGCTGCTGCTCCCTGATCCGTACAGAGGGGCCCAGCCCCAGAGAAGGGGCCTTCTCAGAGACTTCACCGGAGGCTGCTGGCAGGGAAGGCTCTGGCTGGGACCCTACCAGGTCCTCGTCTAACAGGTACAGGGTGGCCAGAGTCAGCAACAGGGACACGGGACAGGCAGAAGGTCCTGGAGGGAAAGAGGCAGTGTGAGGCCACAGTGGAAAGCCATAGAGGGCCCGGGGCCCTCAAGACTGGTGTTGCAGTGTTACTAAAAATCAAGGTGTGAACTGCACTCAGGAATGGGCTACAGAGCAGCCTGGGCCCCTTTCCCAAGGTCCGGGGAGCCCTGGCCTCCAAACCCTCAGAGCCATGAAGAAGTAGGAGCCGCTTTTACAGGACGAGGGGTGCAGACCCAGCCAACCTGCCCACTTGAGGGAAGCCTGGTCCCCAAAGGTCTCTGGACAGCTGGGGACCCAGGACCCCAACTTCACCTGGACAGACAGGGAATACCCAAGCCACTGTTGGGATATGCCCATGAAGAAGACGTGATGCGGGTACTGAGAAGGCCTGGGGAGGGGGCTAGTCTGTGACCTGGGACAAGAGGAGGACAGAAACCAGGGAACGCCTGCAGCACAGACGGCTCACCTTCAACCAGGAACGCCTGAAGGTAGAAGAACTGGGGAGTCTCTGGGGAAGCATCTTGTCCTAGCAAAGGCCTGGGGAGATGCAGACACGGGCAGGGGTCAGCTAGGGGAGAATGGGCTTCAGGGAAAAGGAGGCGGAGGGCTGGTAATGGACACCGGGCCTGTGGGAGGCACAAAGGTATGTGGCAGCTTGGGGCTGCCCTAAGACATACCCTAAGAGGACCTTGGACTCACCAGAGCCGGTGCTGCGGGGTCACCTCCTCCTCCGTGACACTGACACAGTTCTTCCGGGTAGGGGGCAGAGACTGCAAGACACCTGGCCAGAGCCACCCAGGGACAGGAATCCTCAGAGGCCTCTTTTCTCCTCTAACCTAACCTCGTCATCTCTCCCGCCTGCCTGCCCTCCATAGCTGTGGAGTCCAGAAACTTCCACAGGGGATGATTCCCATGACCTCTGTCTCCACTCAGGCATCAAACTAGGGATCTGGTTCTCAGGGCCCTGCCTGCCTCCCTCTCCCATCTCTTACCAATGAGTTCCTCCAGGAAGAGCCGGCAACGCCTGGCATCTCGGGGCAGCAGCACACAGCTGCCCACCCCCGCCGCCCACTCCAGCCGCAGACTCTGGCCTGCCAGGCCCTGCTGCACGCCACTCAGATCCTGCAGAGGAACGGCCAGGGTTGGCTGAAGCCAGCTAGCTGGAGGCCCGCTGTGGAGGAGGGGCAAAGTGACTAAGGCTGAGGAGAGAAACAGACCGTCAGGGAGACCCCAATGCTGCCCTGGCCATGGGCCTGGCTCACTCACCGGATGTCCCCTGTCACCTTCAACAGGTACAGCCTGTGATCAGACATGACCACAAGACACAGAAATTCCCCCACGTGACCTGACAACACCACTGGCACCTAAGGGGAAAAGGAGCTGATGAGAAACCAGAACCAAAGAGGAAAAGCCAAGCTGCCCTCCACACCTCTGGTCAGTGTTGAGGTGACCTTGAGCTCAGCCTCTCCCACCCTCCACTCTCCCATTCCCAAGAACCCACACTTACTCAGACCCCCAGCACTCAGCTGGGGGTTCCCTCCTCCCACTGTCTTCCCCGGCCACCATCCTGCCCCACTACACCAGAGTGATGGTCTCAAATCATAAAGCAGATCATCGCTCCCGTTTCACATCTGCCAGTGGCTTCAGGCAGCCCCCAGGTGCAGTCCAGACTCTTAGGTAGGCATGGCAGGATGCTCTCACCTCAGTCTCTCCTGCGGACACCTGGCCTCACCCGAGATACTGGCCTTCCCACTATCTGTCCTCTCTCACATCCTTTTCCTTCTTACTCTGCTCACCCTGCAAGATGGGGCTCAGACATCACCCCCAGGAAGACCTCCTCCCCCACCCTGGCTGGATCAGACTTGCCTTCTAGGCCACTCATGATAGCACTTGCACACTGAACCATCTTGATTCAAGCTGAGGACAAGACTTCCTCCCTATCAGTCCTTCCAGTCTGACACACATTTCGTGCTCAAGAAAGTGGGTCCAACCACACCATGTGTTTGTAAGGACAGGAGGCCCCATTCACTAAGCACTGGTGCTGGCCCTAGCAGTTCGAAGATGCTGGCTCTAAGCCACTGCACTCTGTAAGGTGACAGATATCACCTCCATCATGGACTCAGAAACCAGGAGTGTCCACAACAAGTATCTGCCAAGCCTTAGGCAGAGCCAGAGCTGGTGGGTCCGCAGCACATGACTTGACGCAGAGGACGGAGCCCTGTGGTTAAGGGTCTGGGCAGTGCTAGGTGACACAGACCTTGATGCAGCACTGGAACTCCTCCTGGGCATCACTGAACACCTCGACATCCAGGAAGAGCCGGAGTCGGTGGTCCACGGAGCGGAATCCACAGCACTCACCGGCTGGGGAAAGCAAGGAGCTGTCAGCCTGCCCACACCATCACTGCCCAGGGCCTCCTGAGACCCTGCTGTACTCACGGGGACTGAGGCTCCAGCCACTGTGGCCATGGGGGACCAAGATGCTATCAGTCCTGCCGAGATGGTCTCTGTGGCCAGGGGAGTCACAGACAGGGCTAGAGGACTGAGAGGGAGCCCGTGACTGCTCGGCCTGGGTCTGCTCCCTGTGGGGGGTTTCCCCAGACACAGCCAGGAGAACCACATGGTCACTAGCACAGCTGGGACACACAGCAGGAGACTCTGCAGAGGGATGCACAAAGACCCCGTGAGCCTCCCTGACAGCACACCCCGGCCCCCCCGCCCTGCTCCTGATGCCCACCGTCACTCTCGGCCCTTCCCTGGGCCCACACCCTCAGCTCCCTACACCCGACTCCCACTCCAGACAGCCACTGACTGGTCACATCCTATCCCAGTGGGGGCTCAACTAATCCCTGGCCCACAGCTTTCCCCAAAATGCACCCCACCTTCTAACTCCAGGCTCTCTCAGACTGGGCCAACTCAACCAGGATCTGCACTGGTCCCTCACCCCTTGCCTTGAGTTGATCAGGTATTTCAGTGCTCTACTAGTAATGTCTGAAAGACTGAAATGAACAAACTGGGAAAGGCTGGGTCCTATTCCAGCCACCATCAACTAATGGCTCTGCAATCATGCACAGGCACCATTCCCCTAAGGCCAGCTCCTATGCATAAGATGGGACGGACACAGTGTATACCCTACCGGGCTGGCAGGATGGCTGCGTGGAAGTTGGTAAAAAATGTAGGACAAGGATGAGCAATGGGAGAACAGACACCCTAAGCATCTATAGCGTGCTGACGTGTGCTGGCTGCATGCCAGCATCACAACTCCCTATAGCCGGGCTGTGATGGTGCAATCCCAGCTACTCGGGAGGCTGGGACAGGAAAATTCCAAATTTGGAGCCAGCCTAGGCAATTTAGTAAGATCCTGACTCAATATAAAATTTTAAAAAGGCTGAGATATAACTCAGTGGTAGATGGTTTGTGTACCTTGTGCAAAGCCCTGGGTTCAAAAATAAAAGAGGCCAACCTCCTGCAACAATCACCTCCCTACCCAATTTTACAAACAGGAAAAGAAAAGATTAAATAAGTTATATGCGCCTGCCCAAGACCTTACAGATGAGGGTAATGGCAGCTTCCACATAAGGGACCCGAGGACTGCACCGGCGCTGCGCCCTCCTGTCTCATCGAAATCTCCTGCAGAGCACCATGGGGTGGGCTATTTTTTGGTTAGATGAGGTAACTGAGGCTCAAAGCAAAGGTGGATGAAGCCCAGGGGAGCGCGCATTGGAAATGTCACCACAGAGTAAGCAGCGCTTGCCTGACAAGTGCAAGGCCCTGAGTTTGATTCTCAGTACCAAGAAAAAGCTACCACAGAGGGGACCCCAGAAGACATAGGACCTAGGGAGCACAGCCAGGGTCCTGGGCCAGGTGATGGGGGGCTGCTGCCACTACACAAGGGTCATTGGCCCTGGCCCTGCTGGGCTGCAGCCTCCTGGGCTGGCAAAGGCCGGGAAGCAGAATGACCCTCTCCTATTTTCCAAATGAGACCTCAGGCCCTGCTCTGATTGCTACGGGGAAGAGATGTGGGTATAAATCATGCATTTTAACACAGCTGTCGTAAAGAGCATTCGTTTTCTCTTCAGTATCTTCTCAAAGACCTTGCTTTTTGATTAGTCTGTAATGGAGAAATCTGTTGTTTTAAAGAACAGGATATATAAAAAAGATGCCACAAGGCGCTATTTGCTATCGGGCAGATTACAAGGTCAGTGGAGCAGGACAGACTACTACGCAAAGCCGTGGGTCTCAGAGGGCAGCATGACAACCTGACACTGCAGCACAGACTCCCTGGGTTCCATGTCGGTTCTGAAATGTTAGCCAAAAACACCTAAAAGGCCTTCGAGTTATGAAAAAATAATGAGTGTGATCAAGCACAGGGACAGAGACTGCACTTCTTGATTCTGAGAGAAAAACAAACACCCAGGACATAGGTTTGGTTCTCTTTTTTGTAAGTGAAACAGGGAGGCATTTCTACTCGCAGCAGTTCAGCAGCTCCCTCGCCTCCAGGCTTTGACCCCTGGGGCTCTCCCCCCCACTCCCTCCTCACTCTCATAGCTGCTTTCCCTACAGTCTGATGGTCAAGCATGAGGTGGTACCTGTCTCTTGAAACAGTGGCCTCCAGCCTTCCTCACTGCCCAGCCCCATCCTCGGCTCTCCTGGCCTGAACTCACAGCCGCAGCGCAAACACTGGAAGCTGCCTCCCAGTGCGCGGCTGGCCTTCCCAAGCTGCTGCCGTGCTTCGGTGGTAAATGGGCTCAGCACCGTGAGGAGCTCCTGAGGGCGGTCGGGAGGCAGCCGTGAGCAGGTGGACCCCAGACAGACACCCTCCGGCCAGGTATCACCTCCTTGGCTTTTCCCAGCTCCCCACAGCCTCTGGCCCCATCCATCACCTGGGCAGCTGTGTGGGCATCGGGCTCCAGCACAACATAGCGACGCAACTGCCGGTCGGGGCAAATGTAGGCAAAGCGCAGCACAAGGACGGGCGCCCCCGGGAGGCCATCTGAGCCCTTCACAGCAGGATGGGGGCGTGACAGCGGGTTAGGGTTAGACCGAGCACAGGGAAACAGTAAAGTGGACCCCACTCAAGTGCTGCTGCTGGTCTCTCCGCCCTAGCAGGGACCTCCTCAGCCCAGCCTCCCAACTACCTGAGGCTGCACTCTGCCTTGCCCAGCGCCCTCCTCCACCATCAGCCTCCTGCACCCCCGTCCAGAACCAGCCCCCCAGCCCCCCCACTCACCTCGGCCACTGGCTCTCTCTGGGTTGGGCTCTCAGGCTCTAGCTCAGCTGTCACCAGACTCTGCAGTTCCAGCCGCCCCAGAGTACGACCTGCTTGGAGTTCCACCTCAACCACGTGAGCAGAGGTGACCTGAAGAAAGCATTCCATGCCCCGAACCCCCTCGGGCCTCTGCAGGGGACACACCAACATGGGGCGGCAGAGCTCAGCTGTGGAGACACCAAGAGAGGAGCCTAGAGGAGGGAAAAGTACCATACCTTGCCCTCCCTGGTGGACCTGGCCTTGTAAAAATCTCCCAAACATTTCAACACCCCTTAGCCCCAGCTTCCCTAGTGGCTGTGGAGAGCTCACCTTCCACCTCCTGCTGTTCCCGCCCTTCTTCCTCTTCCTCTTCCTGTCCCTCCTTCGCTGCCTCTTTTCTCTGTTCCTCCCTGTCCTCTTCCTCCTGGGGCTCTGGCTCCATCCTGCTCTGCTTTGCCACTTTCTGTTCTGACTCCTTGGGACCTCCGGCTTCCTTCTCTGAGGCCTGAGGGCTTGGTGGTGTCTCGGGGCCCAGAGCACTTGGAGAAGAGGTGCTCAGGGCAGCAGTCTTAGAGGTGGTCTGGAGAGGGCTCCCAGAGACCTCCAGGTGGCTCCTATACTGCAGCCAGTCACAGCCGAACCTCTCCCGGAAGCTGTTCAGCAGCTCAAGTTCCCGATGTTGTTGCACAAACATTCCTGGGTAGACGGGGAATGAAGAACCGAGCAAACTCCCCCCCCACCCTAGTCCCGGCCCCACCCCCACCCGATGGCCCCAGCCTCTTTCTATGGGTGTTGCTATACGTGAAGCAACGGCTGTGGGTGTTACAGGCTTCCCATCAGTAACTGGTCCCTCAGTGTGGAATGCTGTGGTTGAGTGTAATCCAGGTTCACACGACATACAGTACTTTTAGGAATTCACAAAATATAACACATCTAGACCCTGAAATGGTCTGCAGGAAAAAGTTATTTCATTTTATTTAACCTAGGCTTATATTGCATGGCCTTTGGAATATCTTACAAGATTAGTGATCCTTGAAAAGCTTTGCAAAGTGGGAGCACTTTGCTGTTTGGGAGCAGTTCCCTCTCCTGTCTCTATACTAACAGGACAGAAGACAAAGTATCAGGCCTTCTGCAACATTCTGTGCCACTAGAAAATCAAATTTCTCTCACCAGACCTTCACAGTAGCATCAAGATAGCTGAAGGGGGTCAGAGAGGGGGATGCAGGGGAGCTGACTTACCAGCTGGGGAAGGGTCCAGGGTTCGGGGTTCCAGGTCTGTATCACTGGGCTCAGAGATGCTCGCCCGTCTCACACGGATTTTGCTCTGGGTTGGGCAGACAGATGGCTTCTGCAAACACCAGGGCCTCCTCCCATGGCCACTGGCAAAAATCACCAATCACCCCCACCACTCCTCAACTGCTAACAAGGATAAGGTTTTACTACTGCCAATCCAGGGCCCCCAAAGGGACTCAACCTCAGGCACAAGGCAGCCAGGGAAGCCCTTACCTTAACCCTACGAAGAGATGCCTGGGCTGAAACACCTCCTGAAGAGAGGCTGTCACTCAGCTCAGGGCCACCGGAGGTTTCGGTGGTACTCCCCAAGGACCAAGGCTGAGGAGGGGCCAAAGGGCCAGGTCCCAAAGATGTTGAGGTCTGACATGTGACCACAGGAAGAAGAGGCTGGGGTCAGGGCAGAACCTCTGTGTCGCCCAAGCTAGTCAAGAAGTGAACCCCACTTTCCACTGATCAGGAAGACCTTGTCCAGCCACCCCTCTCCCTCCCTTTCTGTCCCATCAGTCCTTGCTGTCCCACTATCCTGCCCCCACGGCACAGACCTGAAAATCCTTCGGTGACAAGAACTTGCCGTCAAGAAGGAACTGCACCAAAACAAAGGAGGGACAGTGCTTACAGCAGAACCAGCCCCAACAAATTCCCCTGCTAACACAGCAGGGGCCAAGTCCTTGGCTGCTCAACCTGGGATGGTGAGAAGGTACAGGAGCAGGACAGGACAAGACAGGAAAACCAAGGTGGATGAAAGAGGATCACTCACGCTGTGAGCAGCATCCTTGGCCCGGGGTGACAAGTACTGAGTGGTGGCTACACGATGTGAAGGGTGGAAGAACAAAGGGTTCCCCTCCAGGCAGAGCTTGGGCACGAGAAGAGGAAATGAGATGAGCATGGGCCCTGTGTGTGACCTCTGCCTGGCGCTGACCTCTGCCTCCCGAAGGGGCTCCCAGGTGTCACCTGGCGGAGTTCAGCCAGCAGGCACAGTGGCAACAGCTCCCTGTGTCCCTCAAGCAGATTGTAGGCCACATCCAAGTGGTACAGGTTCCTCAGCTGCTCCAGGCCTGGGGCAGAGGGAAAAAGGGGGGAAAAGGGATGTGGGTGAGTGCCCAGGTGCCAGTCGGCATGGGGGAACCCGTGCCTCTGAGCGCCTCGGCCCCACCGTCAAGCCATGCTAAGGCTCAGGGGCACACGGATCTGCCACCCCACATCTTGTGTTGCCCATGTTCACATTCTACTTCCCCGCTCACCCTGCAGGCTCCGGAGCTCATTGCTTCGCAGCACCAAGGTCCTCAGGGCAGCTCCTGAAGGGCCCATTCTCGGCACCAAGTGCAGGTGGTTGTACGAGACATCCAGGTGACACAGCTCAGACAAATCCTGCAGTGGGACGGGAAGGATGCCGAACGTCACCTCGATCAAACTCGACTCAGGGTCCCCTAAGCCCCCTTCTCTTCTCGGCCTCCGCGTAGGCCTATAAAAACTGCAGCCCCTCAACACAGATGATTTTGCCCACCCGCCACCATGAACAAACACTAGCACAGTTCTAACAGCTCTGGGTTGCACCCTGGGAAGGCAACTCCAAACCCCTAATAATCCTGCCTGGAAAAACATGGCCATCAAGAGAAATTTACAGTGCGCTCCAGCCAGCACCTGAAGATAGGGCCCGGCCTGGCTCCCAGTCTCTGTGGAAGGATTCAGACTAAATTAGCCAAGGGCCAACTAGTTGGCAAATCCTGGTTTGCATTTCATAAATTTCTGCTTCCTTGAGGCTGCTCGAGCTCCCCCTTACATCTCCCTCATCCCTCATTCTCCATTTAAAACACCAGTCACCCCTGCACAATGTGGGCTTCCATTCACATTGGAATCTTTCCTACTCCGATAGTTTATTACTGACTAACATCTGTCTTTACCACTTGAACTACAACCCAACTATGTTTGTGTTTGAAAGGCGATAGAGAGACATGGGAGAAAGGTTTGTTATCATCATCATCATCACAAAAGCTGCCATTTCCTAAGCTAAGCCCTAGGCTGAGTTCCCCTAAGTACCCTTCACAACTATTTAATTGTACAAAATCAGGTTCTCTCCCAGGACTTCCACTTTACAAGTGAAGAAACCAGTCTAACTAATGCGAACCAAGTCACACAGTCATTCAAAGCCAGGACTGAACTCTGCCACCTCTTCCTCCAGCTTCAGGTTCCAAACACCACCTCCCAGGATCCAGCTCCACCCAGAAGACAAGAGCCAGACACAACATAAGCAGGTCCAGGGAGAAGGTAAGAGCAGAGCAATACGGGGCCCAGGTGCTCAGCCGCAGGCCGCTCGCGCTCACCATCAGGAAGCCTTTGCAGTCCTGCAGTCGATTGTGGCTCAGGTTCAGGAAGCGCAGCACTGACAAGAGACCCTGAGGCGGACAGGAAAAGGAGGCACAGAATGGACTTCACAAATGGAACTCCCCTCCCCTCCCCTCTTCTCCCCTCTCTGCCCCTCTCCTTCCCTCCCCTGTCCTTCTAGGCACTCACCAGGGAGCTGTCTAAGGCAGTCAGGGCATTGTAACTGAAGTCAGCAGAAAGCAAAGCTAGCCAGGGGAGGGCAGAGCAGAGGTCACCGCCACAGGCTGAGAGGAGCTCCTAGATGGGGGACAGGCACGTCACAATCCCACTCTCACCCTCCACCCCATCACCCATCATTCATTCACATTTTATATACCCAGCTCCATTTGGAGATGCAGACGCCAGAATACTCAATACATTACAGCAGTGTGGCTGTATGTGTACAGAGAGATACAGAGTCCTGCGGGTCACAGGGGAGTGTGTAAATGAGAACGCTACAAGTTCATCCTTCATGTCTCTGAGGACAAAAACTGGGGTCCACCCTGTGCCCTCCTTACCTCTAGTGCCTGGATGCTCCTGTTACAAATCAGGGTCTCCAGCTGTGAGTAGATGCCCTGGAGGCCACGCAGGCAGTGGAGGGGGATACCTCGGAGCTATAGCAGGGAAGGAAGGGAGGAAGACAACTCACAGAGGAAAGGATTTCATGCCTAGCTCTGTGATGGAGAAGGGAAGATGACCAAGTCCAGCTACAGAAACTTCCAAGGAAGCATAAAGTAGAAGAGACTGGACACCACATTACTGCAGAACAATGGTACACGCAGGCCTGGCCTCCTCACCAAAGAGGAAATTTCTCTGTCCCCATCCCTATACTGAGTTTTATGCACCAATACCCGCAATGCCACACACCTCCAGCTGCCGAAGTGACTTGAAGGGAAAAATCTTGATGGGCCCTGGAAGGCCAGGTCCAGGGATGTGGACCAGCTAAGAGAAAAGCAGTCAGGTTACCGAGGCGTGGCAGTCTCCCTTTCCCCAGCACCCCTTCCCCAGTACAATCCCCCAGACCTCGGACACCACCCAGATCTCAACCCTGCATACTTCTTGCGTCCCCACCCCACCTCCAGTCTCCATGGCCCCTAACCTCCACGCACATCCGCCATATCCCCACACCACCTTGAGTGAAAGTGTTTTCTGCAGCACATCGAAGAGGAACTGAAGCTGGAGGATGGTGGGGGAGTCGGCAGGGTGGGAGGGCAGAGCCACGAATCCTGTCTGGCCCGGACCCCATGGCCCCAGGTACAGCTCAAACACTCGGTTCAACTGCTGCAGTGTGGCAGTCAGCAGGCTCAGTGTGCTACAGCCAGACAGGACCACATCCCCTGTAAGGAGAGGGAAGACGGGATGTAGGACTTAATAAAAAGTCTCTCCCTGTGTCCTGAGGAAGGCTGACCAAAAATACACCCACTCCAGTCCACAATGCAGACCTTCCACTGTGGGATCAAATTTTCTATCTCCTCTCCAGCTCAGAGGTAGCTCTCCCATCTTTAAAACAGAAAACTTGGCTCTTCAGCCTGATACATAAGACTGTTTTTCTATGTGACTACAATGCATTTTTCTAAATTCTTTTACCTTCTGTTCAAATGAGCCTGACCTACTCACAGTGCTGGGGATACCACCAGCTTGGCTCACAGCTCTATTTTCTGATTATCTACTACCCAGAGAGAGACCAACGGCACTCACCCCAGAAGCCTTCTCAGCAAGTAGGGTGTGATCACTCATCTTTACATAAAAACCCGTGATGCTTTACCTTTCTTTTTCTGTTTGATAGTGGGAATCAAATCAGGACCTTTCACTTGCCAGGGAGGCACTGTGCCACTGAGCTGTATCCCCAGCTCCCTACCTTTCTTTTTTAAATCGCAAAACTAATATGCACATTTATAAAACTTTCAAGCAATATTAAAATGCATGTCACAGAAAAAATATGCATTTATGACCAACGTACTATTATTGCTATATTAAAAATGCTTTAACAAGACTGTCATCCTCAAGGGTATCTTTTGGTTTTTTTGTTTTGTTTTCTCATATGTGGAGCATGGAGTCAAGGGTATCTTTTGGTCACCTTGACATCCCTTCTTTTACACCTAAAAGGACCCAATAAAAAATCTCAGCATGGAGATTGTTTTCAACTTTTTCTAGAAAACAAGTGTAAACATGTGGCATGTTTCTAGAAAACAAGTCAAAGCATGTGGCTGAAACAGTACAGAGGCTCCCTATACCCTTTGCCCAGTTTTCTCCAGTGTTTGTACTTCTCCTAACTATAATACAACATCAAAATCGGAACACTGATATTGGTACAATATGTACAGCATACAGCTCTGTGGTCTCTGAGGAATTCCTGCAACCATTACCCAAATCAAGACACAAAGCTATTCTATTACCACAAAGATCTCCTTTCTGCTATTCACAGTCACGTACCCACACATCCTGTCATCTCTAAGCCCTGAAGCTGTTATCAAATTCTCAATGAACAAATTAACAAATCCTAACCTTTCATAATTTCGTACTAGGCATTATGGATACATATGAACGTGGTTCAAGGACTAATCCTGCCCTCAAAGTTCCAGTCCAAAAAAAAGACAAGTGCGTAGTTACTGACAGAAGTCAGAAAATAAAATTTATAAAGACCACAGAAAACCTACAAAGTGCATTCACAGCAATTGAGAGCAGCTACCATTAACTGGGGCAACACTCGCCAAATGTCTCTGCTATCTCATTTAAGCATTGTTTGGATCTCCCCAAAAGAAGCTCCTTTAAGCCCACCTTACAGACAAAAAAATTGAGGCTCAAAGAAATTAAGAATCTTAACTGCAACCAATACGGCAGTGGGAAGTTGACACTTCTCTCCATTCTTAAAGCCAAAGCAGTTGTACCACAATTGATGCCAACCTCGGATTAAACAAACACTGTGACTCATGCCTGGTACGGTGGCTAACACCTGTGATCCCAGGATTTGGAAATCTGAGGCAGGGCTGCCAAGAATTCCATGCCAGTCTGCCTGGGCTATACTGTGAGTTAAAGACCAATCTGAACTACATATCGAGACCCTGTTTCAAAAAAACGAAAGAAACCAGCCAACCAGCCAGCCAAATACTGTGACTCCACTGTGCCCATACAATGAAAGAAACCATTATAACAATAGCTACCAGTTTTAAACACTTACTTTATGTGCATACACCTCACTACTTTCCATTTAAACTTACTTCCCACAACTTCTCAGTTAAGTGCAATCAGTATGCCTAATCTGCCGGCGTGGAAAATTGAGTTTGGAAAATCTAACACAGCCAAGTAGAACGAGGGTTGAGATTCCACACTAGGTGGGTCTGACTCCAAATCGCAAGCTTTCAGCTACAAGGCTCCATACAAGCCTGGGATCTGTTCGTGTTCTCATTCTCAAGGAACTTACAGTCAAGCAACAATCACTTTTCTCTAATAGAATCAGAATGCACGGAAGAAGTGGCACTGGAGTTTGGGCTCTAAGGATAGATGAGAGTTTAGACTGTCAAAACGAGGATATTGTAGGCAATGCATTTGGGCGAACAAACCCAGAAGTAAAGAAATGAACGAATTGTTGACACCTCTTGACCTAAACAGCTCTAACTCTGTGACTCTTCTGGCGGGTCTCTATGAGATAAGAAGCACCCCGCCTCGCCTGAAGCCCAGCGCAACCGGAAGTCCACTCACCAGACTCCCGCAGAAGCCCCGCAAGCTTCCACACTACCGAGTCCCTCGGAGCGGTTGTCATGGCCACGGGACGCTGGGGGCGGAGCCTAAGAAAAAGAGGAAGCGGAAGACCTTCAGGTGGGCGGTGGTGCCAAACCCACAGTGTTCGCGAAAGCCGGGGCATCTTGGGGAGAAAAAAGAGACAAACCAGAAAAAGCGTTGTCGTGAGTGCCGTCTCGAGAAAACTAAGACTGCACAGCCATGCTGATCGCCGCGTTCGGCCTTCCAACCAGTTCTGCAACCCGTCGCTTGTGATGGACAGGAAGTCCCGCCCCGGAAGTAAGACGACCGGAAATGCGTTTTCACAGCCGGAAGCCACGCCCCAAGGCTTTTGAGCGCTGGGGAACGGGTAGGACGGTCAGTTGGAGCTGTATGGTCGTTGACTCCACCCTGAGCTGAGCGTCTGGCACCCCCGGCGTCCTGGCGTCCTCTGTCTCTCAGCACCTGGTCTCCAGCTTAGCCTGCGCTGCTGCTGCCCCCGCCTCGGGCCAGTGAGGAAAACCTGACACGTTTCTAGGCTAGACTGAGAAGCAAAGTTGGGAGAAATGGAATTTTCTGCTATTGAGGAAAAAACTCACCCAAAGCAAACATTCGTTTTCCAATGCAAGGAAAAAGTCCGCGATGCGAAAAAGATTTTTGCTCTGAAATGCCTGAGGCTGGATGAGGGTGTCACCGCTGGGGTCCCTTTGCCTCTCTTTCCTTAGTGTCTCTGAACCCCTTTTCCCCTCAACCCTTTTTACGAGGGAGCCAGTGGCATGCGCTCGTGAACCTGAGCCCGTGTTTGTAAAGTGTGTTCGTCTTACATGAAGCCAGACGCTGTCATTCCAGGTTTGAAAACGAAACGGCTTCTGGAGGCTGGGTTACTTGTGAAGGTCGTTCAATTAGTAACCTAGTAACCGACAGCTCAAAGACTGCCCAAACTTCTTGGTTCCAGGTTCTCTCAGTAGCTTTTACTGGGCTCCCAATCAAATGCTGACGTCCAGTTCACATGGAGGAGATTAAGAAAAGTATCTTCAGAGTTTCTGCTTTTGAGGGAAGTTTTTTTTCTGCACAGAAAAGCCTAAATGAAAAGTCGGTTGAGATTAGGAACCTTCTTTCCAAGATACCAGATTCGAAAGGTCTTGATTTCTAAAAACAATATTTAAAATAGCAACATATGTGGGGCTGAGGATTTAGCTCAGCGGCATAAGCGAGTTTGATCCCCGGTACCGATAAAAAGGAAAAAGACCAAAAAAAAAAAAAAAAAAATAGCAACGTATGCCCATAAACTATGCAGTTTTGTACTTGGTACTTATGGGTGGCCTGAGACAAACCCTAAAAGATGATTAATGAAGTAAGTAGGCAACAAAGCAGTATACAAAGTCAGAGTAAGAACTTAATAACTTTTTATTGAGTTATTAATCCCATAACGATGTTTGTCAGCCCCAGTTTACCAGTCACCTGGATTTAGAGGCTGGGGTGTCTCCTACTATAACTTGTCAACTCAAACCTTGGGCAATGAGGTTCCTAACACTGCAATGCCTTGAAATCAGTTGTCAGCCTCCCTACCTCCAGCCCAGCAGCTCTGAGAAATGTATGATTGCCCCTGTAGCTAGATTCGTTCTGCATCCTTTCACTGCCAGATATGTCTAAGACAAAGAAACAAAGCTGGACTACAGAGTGAAGAAAGATCTAAGAGAAGCAACAACAGGAAACTAAGTAGTTCTTGTTTCCTCCCCCTTGTGAGGCCCACTCCCCATTGTGTCCTTGGCCTGCACCCAAGGGAGCCTTGGCTTCTATCCCCAAAAATCTGCCTTTTTCCTGAGTCAAAATGTACTTCTTTAAATCACTACCATGAGAACCTTCACTAAAGCAAAAACCTTTTTTTAAGGAAAGAGAAAATCACATTGTATGATAGCCAAAATGATGCATGTACAAATCAAACATTTTGGGAAATGTCAGAACATGCTCTGTTTGCTTTTTTGTTTTTGTTTTTTGAGACAGGGTCTTTCTGCCTAGTTCAGACTGGTCTTGAATCCACTATGTAGCCTAGGCTGGTCTCCAACAGCAGTCCTTCTGCCTCAGCTTCCCAAGTGCTGGGGTTACAGGAATGCGCCAGCATAACCTGCAGAACATGCTCTAAGTAAGTGAAAAATTTTAATCCTAGTAGGAAGATTCAGTGTTATAATGATTTGATAGTATAATGACGCAATTTCAGACTAATCTCAGTGGGAAGATTTTGTAACTTGACAAGTTGATTCGAAAACTCAGCTGGAAGCCTAAACATTGGATACAGCCAAGAAACACTGAAGAAAAATAAAACAAACAGTACTAATAGAGGCCTTGCCCTACTAGATATAAAATGTCTAATAAAGTCACAGTGACCAAAACAATGTGGTAATGACAAAAGAGACAGATAACTATTAATAGACCATAGTACAGAAGTAACCTTGATTACATGGAAGTTTTTCCCCGCCTGCAGATGATAAAATTTGACTTTAAACCAATTGTGTAAGTACTGAGTTGTTCAGTACTTTCAGAATAACTAAGTGTCCATCTGGAAAAATTAGGTCCCTTAAATCCTGCACATTAGGTTCCAGAAAGGTTAAAGAACTAAGCATTTTCTAAAAAATTAAGTCTATCCACTCTTCAAAGTTTGAAGTTCAAATTTAATTATTAAGGAATTAGCTATTAAAAGTTGTCATTGGACAGTAGCTTTGCATAACTTATTATCATGAGTCTCATGTTTTGCTCATAACCTATAAATACTCTTCTGAGTTTTCGTTGCACATCAGAAATGTGCAGCTGGTTCTTCCAAGCACCAGAACAACACCTCTTACCATAATCACGGATCTGGTAGTACTTGAGAGGCACAACTCACAGCCCTCATGTGCCACCTCCGTGTTACAGGAGGAGACAGCTTCTGCTGGTTCCTGCTATCCAGAAGTTCTCTGGAAATGCTTAGACTAAAAATGGATACAGAAAGATATGCAGTTACTAGCTTAGGCTGGAGGTGTGGGAAAAAGAGAAAAGGGTAGCTGGATACAAAAATGACAAACTGAACTACAGGAGAATACTGTAGATCCTGATCCAAAGTCTGCTTATTTCTGATACCTTGATGCAGGCAGGACTCAGGACTGTCCCCCACATGAGAAGTCATTGTTCATCTTTAAAGCATGAGCCTTTGTCCTGACCTCCCCGTTCTGACAGCAGATCAGAGGACCAAGACCTAAGAATTCCTCCAAAATGAAAATTCCACACCAGTTAGGAGTACGAAGAGTGAAATTGGATGAGTTTCTTATTTATTGACAATATCTTCATGGAGTGCAAAAGGAAACCAAAGACAATGAAGAAATATGAATATAACCTCTGCAAGTGGAATATTGGTAAAGAGTTTGTACTAAAGAGGAGGCCAAGTGTCCAGCACCCCTCAGTGTCAGTGCCCGGACAGAGTCAACACAGGGAATCTTGGTTTTTTTTTTGGTTTTTCTTTTATCAGTATGGGGATCTAACTCACAACTGCCTCCTTGCAAGGCAGGTGCTTATGCCCCTGAGCTAAATCCCCAGCCCCTGGGAGTCCTTTCTACACGAGGTACCCACTGTGTCTCTTGACTCTGCCACCAGACCTGACCTCAGGAATGGGGCCAGTGACCAACATCAAATGCATAGGCCCTCGCATAGGGCACTGGAAGAGGTCTGGCATGAGAGCTGTGCATAGACTGTGATCAAGCAAGCTCAGCAAAGTATGGTCTCTGGAGAAACTGGACTGAGCTGGAGGCAGCAAGAGGGAAAACGAAAAAGGCAGAGCCAAGCTTAGTGCAAACATCAGGAAAACTGGGGGCTAAGAATAGCCGACTGAAAAGGAAGGAACCCCCACTGGGCTTGGTGGTAGATGCCTGTAATCCTAGCATTTAGGAGGCTGAGGCAAGAGGACTGTCAGGAGTTTGAAGTCAGCCTGAGCTGCACAAGGTTCAAGGCTGGCCAGAACTAAATAGTGAGATCATGTCTCTAATAGCAAAAAAGAGGGGGAAAAAAAAGAAAGAAAAGGAAGCAACAAAATAACAATACTGCAGTGATCCAGTGGCAGCTCTGGGCACCCAGCGGAGGGGACTTTGCAGTTCAGCATAAAATAAGGGAAGGGATTCCAGGAGTGGCTTTAATTCAAAGAAACTTAAAAGTGCCTTCACTTACCTCATGGTCTATCCTAGAGACCCATGGGGTCCCCGAGAAGGAGGGAGAGGACTGTGAGAACCGAGATGATAAACAACAAAAGCACAGGATTATGTGTTTAATTCAGGACACAAAGGAAAAAGAGAAAGACTGCACTGCCCATTCAAACTGAGCAGAACAGAAGGAAATATGGATAGAGGCAGCTTTGGAGAAGAAAAGAAAGCAGACCAAATCTGGGAGAAGGGAGGATACAAAGTTGGGTACACAGGGGTGCTGTGTCTTCAATTATTTCTCCCAGCACAGAGGGCCAGACTTAGGCAGGCAGGGAGGCAGCGACAGTGGAATGGCACTAGGACCTGCGGTGTGCCACATGGGCCAGTGGGGAAAGGGAACACAGCCACCTGGGACCCCAGGGCTAAGTTAGGGTCTCAGGCAAGGGAAGTGGGGGAGGGGACGACTGCTTTTTTGGGGTCTCAGCCTCTGTGAGCCACAGAGTTAGAGCAGCTCTTTTGTTTGTTCAACAAATATTTTCTCCACCCCAACCCTATGCCAGATCTGGATAAAGGAGACAAAAGATGTAGCTTTTTTTTTTTTTAATCAAGAAGCTGGCCTTGTAGTAGAAGAGGCAGATCCCAACAACCATGTGATGACATTGTATTTCTCATTGCTGCTGTAACAAATTACACTCAATTTAGTTACTGAGTTTAAAGCAACAAATCTATTATAGTTCAGAAGGTCAGAAGCCCAAAGTAGGTCTCATTAGGCTAAAATTAAGGTGTCAGTAAAGCTGTGGAGGTTCCAGGAAAGAATCTCTTTTACGGTGGGTCTCACATGTTAGAGAACCACTGTACCGTGTGACCTATTATGTAATCTACATCCCCAGCTTAGAGAATCTGTATTCTTATATTTTCCCAGCTTTAAATGACTGACCCTGTATCCCCTTCCATCTCCAAAGCTGGCAAAGCCTGCCTGAATCTTTCACATCATATCACACTAATACTGGATCTCCCGTCTCCCTTTTTAACTTTTAAGGACACTAAATATCATATGGGCCCACCCAGGTAATCTAAGATAATCTTCCTATTTCTGAGGTCAGCTGACTGGCAGCCTTCACTCCATCTGCAATCTTAATTGTCCCTTGCCATGTGACATAGCA